AGTCTACTTAATATGAGAAAATTTTTCCAACTAGACCTCTAAGAGAGGATTAATGTCTGTAATCTATAAAGATCTCAAAGAATTAAATACACACAACGACAAATCAATAAACAATTGAGTAAATAAATTGAATAAATAAATGTCAGTAGAAATACTAATGGCCAAAAAATATGAAAATCCTTAACCATCCAGGAAATACAAATTGAAGTAGATGGAGATACCATCTCATTTCAGTTAGAATGGGGATCATTAAATGGCAACGTATGCTGGTGAAAATGTGGGCAAAAAGGAACCTTTCTACACTGTTGACAGGATGTAAACCAGGGGAACAAAAAGCTAGTGGAACAAAAATCCAGTGGAACAAAAAACTAGAAACAAAATAAAATGCAGTATCCAAATGATCCAGCTACACTACTTTTGGGCATATATGGAAAGGAATCTAAGGGCACCACACATCCATGTTTATTGTTGCACTTATTTATAGTAGCCAAGATGTGGGACCAAACTAGATCCCCATCAATAGGTGAATGGATAAAGAAAATGTGACATGCATATCCAATCAATTTTTATGAGTGTTTTTCTTACATGTATTATGTGTACCACACTCATGTCTGGCTGCCACAGAGGCCAAAAATAGAATATCAAATACTCTATAACTAGAGTTACAGACAGTTATAAGGCACCATATGGGTGCCAACTGGGGTCTTCTGGAAGAGCAGCAAGAGCTTTTAACTGCAGAGACATCTCTCCAGCATCAATTTTATTTTTCTTCATATCTGAAATAAAACTCCATTGGGTAAAGGCTGAAGAGAACTCAGTGGTTAAGAGCACTGCCTGCTCTTCTAGAGTACCTAAGTTCAGTTTTCAACACCCATATTAGATGACTCATGCTATCCTATAACTACAGAGAACCCCATGCCCACTTCTGGCCTTAGTGGGCACCTGCACACAAATGGCATACATACACATAGATAGTCACATAAACACAAATAAAAATAAATAATGAAAGCCTTTATAAAAACCAAGAATGAAATTTTCTCATCTGTAAGGAAATGGATGCAACTGTATATCATCATAATAAGTGAATTAAATCCAGATTCAGAAAGAAAAATACAATGTTTTCCCTCATGTAGGTCTGCATGTATATACATGAAAAGAGGAACTACTATTTGGATGGAGAAAGTGAACCAGGAGGAAAAGATGAATGGAATTGCAGAATGAATATGAGCAAAACATAATACATATGTCATAAAAAATAATATCATATGCCAAGTACAAATTACTAACTTTTAAAATTTTGAATTCTTTCTCTTGACTTCAAATTAATATTGGGATTTCCTAAGTAGATTATTGAGAATTCCAAGAGAATATCTCTATTAATTTAGAAAGTGTGGGAACAAACGACGTTGGCCAGAGGCCCACTTCCCCATCAGCCTGGGAGCAAGCAGCTGTAACCGACCACAGAGAAGACATGTTTACTAAAAACATGTTTACTAAAAACAATATAGGGCCTATAAGAAATGTTTACCAGAGCAATAAGTTCCTGATAAGGGCTCGCCCACAGGAACACCCTGACCTTGACCTTTCCAATGACTAACCGCCTCTTCCTGACCCCCCTCAACCCCCCCCCAACCCCCCCGCCACCAACTCTGGTGTCAAGGGCATATAACCAGCCAGGGTAAGAATAAAGCGAAGCTCTCTGAGGGGCTTCTTGAATTTTTCTGGAAGCCTTCTTGAAGCCTTCTTTCACCACCGACTGGTCTCTGTGTCATCAATCCCGACACCCTCCGCAGATTTTCAGCCAGGCTATGCAGTGGGTGCAGCAGAAAGAAGTTATAGAGATTAAACTAGTCAAAATTATTTGATAAGTTATATAAAGATATAAATAACAAGTAATGCTAAGATTTCTTTAGTTTCAGTTTTATGGGAATGAATGGGCCATTGTTTCAAATGATATAATCAAATTTTAGAAACCTAATATTCCTAATAGAGATGAGAAAAATAAAGCAATATAAGTTGAGACAACAAAGGTGGCTGGGGATGTGACCTTCTGAAAAAAACAATATTTGTCTATCATGCACAAGAACCTGTATTTGAACCACAGCTCTACCAAAAAATTTTCAGAGTATAGGGAGGGATGGAGTGCAAGTGTACAGACGCATTCCTCCACTTTCCCCCATCTCTCTCTGTCTCTCTCTGTCTCTCTGTCTCTGTCTCTGTCTCTGTCTCTCTTTCTCTCTCTGACACACACACACACACACACACACACACACACACACACACACACACACACACACCTCCTCCTAGCCCTACAGTTATGGTAAGCCTCTAAAATTTCAAAATAGCATGTAACAATCAAAAGGGTTTTAATGTGATTCATAGTAACTACAAAGTAAACCCTATAGTAGACACACCAAAAATAACAAGGAGCTAGAACATACTATATTATAAAATCACTTGACCACGGAAGACTATAAGAAGGGAAGAAAAAAATAAACTACTTAAAAAATTAGAAAACAAAGAAAGCAGTTTCAAAATAGCAGACAACTCCTAGGCTCAGTCAGCCAGTGTCTCCAGAACAATCTGGGGAAAGCTGAAAAACTGAATCAGAAAAGCAGCAAACACTCTAACAAGCTAGGGGAAGGGTCTCACCCAGGACAGCAGCAAAGCAGAAAAAGAACCATGAGAAAAACCCATCCCCTGGTGCTGGCTGCTTGGCCCTGGCAACTAACAGAGCAGCATTTCAAAAGAACTTCTACTACCACATAGGCCCAGTCTCTACTGACCTTCTGTGAACCATGCCAAATGTTGTAGGACTATGGATCATTTCACTCAGGTGTGAATGGCATTCAACAGGTTCATTATAAATCTGTTTTTAAAACATGGCCAACAGACATTCAGAAAAAAAAAATTCAATATTATTAATCCTCAGAGAAATTAAAATCAAACTCACAGAAAGCTATTATCATCATATAATGTATAAATATTACTACTACTAAAAAGACAAAAAAAACAGTTGTTTGTCAAGATATAAAAAGGATGGGAAAGTAAGATGCAAATCGGGATAGCTGTTATAATAGTATGTGTGTTTCTCAAAAGATAAATAGAACCACCAAGTGATCTAGCAGTCTCACTACTGTATATATAAAATTGTATCCATGTATTGGGAACAGTATCCACAGTGAAATTAATCTAGGAGTTCACCAAATGATGAGTGAATAAAGAAAATTTGGTGTATACACAATGGAATAACATAAAGCCATAAAAGAGGATGAACTCCTGCTGCTTGTGACAACATGGATAACTGCCAATCATCATGTTGAATAGAATAAACCAGGTCATGCTATGAAGGATGAAGTCATGGCACAGGGTAAAAGAATTTCCAGACGAGAAGTATTATGAGCATTTTAATAAAGAATATACTCTATAAACAGAAATACAGCAGCTGAATGCTCAGAATCATCCTTCTGAGAGGAAATTAAATTCTTAGGTAGCAGTGTTTTGATTGGGGACCAAGGTTTGGTTTCATTTGATTTGGTAGGCTACAGAACTCTAGCAAGTTATATCAGTCTTGGGAAATATATATTGTATTTGTAGACATCATGTATTCCTGTATAATTGCATTCTGTAATTGGTCATTTCCACTAAATGTGATTGCATTTCCTTACAGAATGTTGCCAAGGGACCACAAAATTCTTGGGACTGGAATTAAAAGTACTTGCTACTCTTGCAGAAAGACAGGGTTTGTTTTCCAGCACACACCAGGATGCTGACAGTTACCTCTAACCCTAGTTAGAGGATCCAATACCCTCTTCTAGACTCTACAGACCCCAGGCATGCACATGGAGCACATACATACATGCAGGCCCTCACACATATACTTAACAAAAAAATAAACAAATCTTTTTTTTTCTTGCTAAGTTTCTTCCTGGACCTTCTTTGGAAGCTACACAAACATGGGAGAATTTACCTGACCTCACTTTGAACACTACTAGATGACCTCTTTTCCATCCCTTCGGGTCCTACATAGGGTCTGGGATAATACTGTGTTCTGCCTCCTTGCTGGTTGGAAGCTTGGCATTTGGACTAGTTCACTCCTGCCTTCTGATAGTTCTGAACAGCCCCTAAAGGATTCTCTAATAATCCCATAATCATGCTTAACAACTGAAATTAATTCCAACCTCAAAATACATGAAAGTGTGAGTATTTCCACTGAGGAAGTGCCTGAGTGCTCACTTTTGCCAGTTGTGGAGGTCAATAATATGGAATTTGATGTTAAACTGTAAACTGGGAAAGTTTTAATAGCACAGCCAATCAGACATGCTACAAGTTCACAGACAGAAGACACCTCAAAAGGAAGATAAAAACATTTGTTCAACAAAAACATTCAATGAAATATCACAAAACTTTAGGGTTTTTTTTCTCATGTGCGGAACATGTGTGGTGGTAAGCAAAATAAATGCTATACTTTTCTCTTTTCTGATTTTTACTACTTACAGAAAGCTTAACTTAAAAAGTCTTACAGGGGAAAAAACACACAGAATACATTTACAGGAGCAGAGAACAGTCTGGGTGCAGGAATACTGGGCAGTAGGTAGTAAACTTGGCTATCCAAACTGTTTCAAATTTTCACATTTTTACTAGGTCTCAGGATTGCCTTGTTCTGACTTGTGTTGTCAGGCTAACCAGAAAAATATAAATGTATATTTCTATCAACTCATTTTCTTTGGAGCTGTTGTTCTGAATTGCCATCATGGCCTAAAGAAAACCCAGGACCAGATGGGCTAAACTTCTGTTATGGTATCTTTATTACCTGAACTTTGTGTTGTTTGATTTAGAACGGTTAGATTTATGGGACACTTAAGGTGTGTACTTGAAATTCTTGATAATTTTTAACCCTAAGAATCACAATAAAGCAGAAGCAAATCACAATAAACCCCTTCATAAAAATTAAACCTTTTTTTTCCTGGCTCTGAGGATAAATAAATTCAGTCCCCTCTCACACAAAGAGCCAAACCCTGAGCTGAAGCTGTGAGTTAACAGACTATCAGCCTTGGGAAAGATCCTACTCTCCATGCAGGTCTCTTGGGAGCAGCATGCCACAGGAATTTGGCCTCAAGGAGACAAGTAGGTGAAAAGAATATGGGAAATGGGGTAGACAGAGACCCCACAGACCTAGAGAGAAAAATAGAAAGAGCAGCTGACTAAAATGATCAGAGAGAACAGTCAGAGACACACAGAGATTAAGACATGCTAAAAACACAGATGAAGTTGGCATAATCAATAATGTTAAAAAAAAAAAGCTAGGTGTCATGGCACAGGAAATTAGTCCCAGCACTTGAGAGACAGAGGCAGGTGGAGTTCTGTGAGCTTAAAGTCAGATTAGTCTACAGACTGAATTCCAGGACAGCCAAAGCTACATGATAAGACCCTATCTCAAAACAAAAGTGCACATCAGGAGAAGCAGGAAAAGTATTTTTGGTACTTTGGCATTCAAATGAAAACAAATCCAGAATGAGGACATTTTTTTTCAAAAGAAGTATTACAAGAGGAAGGGGATTGATGGAATAGACAGAACAATACAGCCATAAGGGTTAAAACAGCTCAAAGGTTATGAAGAATAGGATTTTTTCCCTAGGGGAAGGCCCAGCAAGGCTAGAAAATGCCTGATAAAGAGCTGTGGGATCATCTGGGAAATTTTTTTCCCAAAGTCAGTAGATTCTGATTCTGAGGAATCCTTAAGGGAGCTTTCTACACTGCTTCAGAAAATAGTGGTAAGTCAAACTTCAGGATCCAGAGGAAGACACTTAACCAGTGTTTGGTCAAATTAACAAGCAGTTTGTTTCCACTAATCTTGAAAGATAAATAGTTCAGCGAATCTATGAGGCAAAGAATGGGGACTGAAAGATGCTGTAATTGGCCTGTTGTTAGTAATAAGGTGAGGCATAAATCATATCTAAATCATATGAGATTCTGCAATGGGCACTTTATCAAAACACAAAAGGAGGAATGGATTGTTTCTAACTATAGCTATTTTGAAGGAACAAAGGATTCAAATGAGTTATAACATTGTTATTACAAGTCAGATGAATGGCAGAGACTATTGTTAACATAGAAGAGAGCCAATCATTTGACCAGTATGGTCTGTGAAAGATATCACAAAGAGACACTTCCACTGAGATAGTAATATAGAGCCCTAAACAGAGAAGGCAATATTGTACAAGGTCAACAAACACCATGAAGAGGAAGGAAGATGGCAGAGTGTGTCATGTAAGAAAAGAGTATATTATTATAGCCCCTAACCAAAAGGTTTGGGTATGCATATGAAAGTCCATCTGCATTAAGGAAAAATTATATATATATATATATATATATATATATGTTGAAAACTGAATTTATTTACACTTTTAGTAAAAACTGGGAATGTCAGGAGTAATAGCACAAGGTAGCATGAGAAGACAGACGCCAGCATCCTGACCAGTTCACTTTAACCTTAAGGACTTTCTACTCAGGCAAAGTTAGGACCTTAACTACATTGCACAAAGGACTTCAGGATGAGCCAGAATTAAACAAGATTTATGAGTTTATTAAGTATTAGACATAAGGACATAAGAAAAGGACAGTAACATGCCCCACTCCCGCATCCCAGACAAGGTGTCTTTACAATAGCTATATATACTATACTACCCTGCAGCTAAATTACATTCCTCAAAGGATATCATTTATATCAAGGTTTAAGATCAGCTAAGCTTAACTTTTAAGAAAAATTTAAAAGCTAAACATATATAAGGTGGCTTACTTATTTTTATCTTAAAGAATTTTCCTTCGGTTTTGTGAATGGAGAAGTGATAATTTGGCAAGCTCAAAATTACAAACATTCTGCCCCCTGAGTAAATATAGCTCATTTGTTAATGTTTTCACCTTTTGAGATGTCTTCAGGAAAACATTATCTGTATAGTTACTTATGGCTTTATGGGTTGTATGGAAGTTTTTCTGATAGTCATAAGGAAAGTCAAACTAGATCCCACGGTAAGAAACTTCTTTCTTTTCTCATGGCCCATTAATTTTTTTGTCTTTTTATCTGGCCTCTAGTTCCCCTTCTGAGACTTTAATCCTTTAATTTTAGGAATTGGCAATGGTCAAAAAAATATTTTCTAAAGCTTGTTGGGGCTGAGTGTTGATCCTGTCTATAAGGGATCAATAAATCTGTCTGCCTGATCTAAGGGGGAATAGACCTTGAGCTTAGAGATCTTAAAATCTTTATTTGATAGAATATGATAGAAATGGTATCATGACATGAGATGTCAAAACAATACAGCATACACTAAACTGTTAACATCAATCTCTTTTCAAAAGGTATAGCAATGACAGTAGCTATTTTTAGACTAGTAATGATATCACTTAACAATTATTTTGTTTTGTTTGGTAGAACAGACTCATGTTTCTCTTGAGTTCAACAGTCAATTTTAGTCTATATTCTCACTAGGAGGACCATTTCTTCTTGGTGTGTGAGATGTGCTTGCATTTACTGGAGTGCTGCCTGAGTAGTACAAACATCTGTCCATTTGTTTCTCTGTATAATGGAGGAATTTTCTTACTGGAGTGAAAATTCCTAAAAATATGTCTGTGACTAAAATAAATATCAAAAACATAATACAAGCAGAAGACATTCAGTGTTAGGTAACTATACATAAAAACTGCTACGGGGAGACCATGAGAGATAACCTCTCAGACACAATTTATAGCCAATTGAAAGTCTTTATTTCAGCCAGCTTAAGGGGTAGGAGTTGCACAAGCAGACAGTTTGACAGAAGCTAAGTTAGCTAGGGCACCTTGGCCTCAAGTCTTAGAATAGAGGTAGATAATTTTCCATGGAATTCTCCATCCGGGTAATCAGATTCTATTTAAACCTGAAATGACCTCATAAAGAATACAAGATTGGGGCCGGGGAGGTGGTGGCGCACGCCTTTAATCCCAGCACTCGGGAGGCAGAGGCAGGCTGATCTCTGTGAGTTCGAGGCCAGGCTGGACCGACAGCCTCCAAAACAATACAGAGAAACCCTGTCTCATAAAAACCAAAAAAAAAAAAAAAGAATACAAGATTGGGGAACCTCATCATAGCCTTGCCCTGTCCCAGAATCACATTCTGCAATTGCTTGGCTTTTGTTGCCTTTGGAAAAGCTAAAAAAAAGTGCCTCCATTTGTGTTGTTAGCTTTAAGACAAAGTCTCAATATGAAATACAGGCTACAAACTCATGATCCTTCTGCTTTAGCTTTCCTGGTCAAGGTGTAATTCTAAGTATTGACCCATAATTGTTTAGACTCCAGTCTGTCCAGCAAGGTGGTCTGGAGGAAATTCCTTGGAGTGCCCTACTTCTATAGTCCTGATATCTAGAGTATGGAAGCATACACTCTGGGCATTCTGACTGCAAAACCCTTTGATGTTTTAACTTATACCACCGCCCGGGCTCTCCTATATCCTTTTGACCATAGTATTATACTTTAATGCCAGTACTCGGGAGGCAGAGCTTTGTGAGTTTGAGACCAGCCTGATCTACAAGAGCTAGTTCCAGGACAGTCTCTAAAGCCACAGAGAAACTCTGTCTAGAGAAAAAAAAAGATACAGGAGAATGAGGTTGAAGGTTGGAAGGCTGATTTAGTGTTTCAACAATTGTGGAGAGTTTGGAATGTTTCAGGTTCACCACCTAATTAAAATTTACCTTGGAAGCCTCGTCAGCTTTGTCTATAGATCGAGTTCCAGGACAGCTTCCAAAACAATACAGAGAAACCCTGTCTCGAAAAACAAAAACAAAAACAAAAAATTACCTTGGGCTATCTTTAGCCCCCTAAATAGCCTTTCCCACTATTAGACCCAAAATCCAGAGACTAACACATGAAAGCCTTTGGAATGTGTTAACATAAACCTAGCTTCTATCAATCAAGCACTGAGTTACCAGGTAGCAATCAGCAATGAGACCTATGGCTGAGATTTCTCCAGTTTGCTTTCACTGCCTGATTAATGTTTCACCCAATGCGTTTGAAAAATGTCTCTACTTATGACTTTCCTCGTTGTTATTATAAAAACTTCATGAATTTGGGGTAACCTAAATCTATGTTCCCAAGATATAATCACTCATATTGGGGGTGGGTGATGGGGGTGTGTTGATAGAGTTCATTTTCTCTGCCAGTTAAACAATTAAAATGCATTGCTGTTCTATGTTGCCATTCTCCTGATGTGAAATGGCCCCGGAGCACAGATGGTTAATTTTCCTCCATGAGCACCTGGAAGATCTCTGAGCATATAGCATCTCCTTATCTTTACTTCCTTACAGAGTTGTAAAGATAAAGTTAGACAGAACACCATATTGCACCTCCTTATCAAGTTCTAAAGATAAGATTAGACATATAATTTAAATACAGTCAGTCAGATACACAGAGCCACTAAGTAAATGGCAACCCTTTACCAAGCCTAGATGTCTAACTAACCACTAACTCTACTTTACCTGAAGCATTCATGAAAATCAGCCAGGAGACAGAATATGGTGGTGTTTTTGAAAGTCTAGCTTTGGAAAATTAGACAAACTATTTGTCTCAGAGAAAGGCATTTCCATTAGTGTCTGCAGGGAACAGGGAGTTGTTGAGTTGAAAGGTAGAAGAACCTTGTGCTTAGAGAGGTCCATTGTCTTTGATACATTCTTTGGAGGATATGAAGGGCAGAAACTTGAAAAATGAAATAAAAAAGGAAAAGACATGATTGTTTCTAGGTATGGTGGAGGAGAAAGCTTAATATATATGGGACAGCATAGGTAGAGGCAGGGACATCTGGGAGAGTTCAAAGTGGACATGATCAGACTGAGCTGAGCCATGTGGGGAAGGTGGAACCAGTTTCAGCAGCCAGGATGTCAAAGGTACAAAAAAAGGTAAGTAGCCAACATATCTGGACTATGTAGGGAAGAGCCTCTGGGGGAAGGGCAGCCCAACCCCTGGCTGGAAATTTCAGGGTAGAGGATGGGGTATAGTAGCCATACCCTATAACAGGAAGAGACTGAGGGATGCTGGAGGAACCTAGAGGCCAGCTCTGCTTTGATGTGTTAAATAGGCACCTCAATTTGTCCTGGGTTTGAAAC